ATAATAAATAAAAAAAATACTAAACCAACTAAGACAATTGCCACTAAGACTTACTAAGATTCCAATTCTACAACTAACACTCTAATTTTCTATTTGTCAAATGATTTTTATACTATTTACCATATAGTATGGTTCTAAGTACTTTAAATGTATATTTTTATCCTAAAATAACTAATGAGTTGATTTGATGATTTACAAAAAATAAAAAAGAGGACTTGAGAACAAAGAAAATACTAAGAACAATATTAGTTTAAAAGAGGGTAATCAACTACTTCTAATATGCTTATGTCTTATGAAGAAAAATGAATAATCTAATCTTAATCAAAAGAAGATAAAGCTCTAATATTAAAAGTACACTCTTATCAATTTATTAAAGATATGAATTGAAAAAAGATGTATAAACCTTGAAAAATCTATGTCAAAAGAAAAGTGACAAAAATAAAAATAAAAAAGTATATATATTAAAAGAAAACTAGAATAGCTATTGCCAAAAGACAAAGAAACTAGAGATTCTTGAAACTAGACTAGAAACAAGAAAAGAGTTAACAAGAGTGAAGAAGGCTTCACTCTTGCCTCTATATATACTATCTACTTACGATTTATATGGCAACGTTCTATAGGACCTCTTAAAACGTGTTGACTTTGTATGACATGTATCTTAACTTGCAAGGCAAGTTTTCTACATGAGCCCCACATAATTAGCTTGTTTCACAAGCTACCAACATATGTGGCACATGGGTAGCTTGTTGTGCAAGTTTCTAACCTACTAATCAATTATAAATATATATAAAGTCAAAATAGCATCTAAAAAGCTTTTAGAAAGCTTTTTTAGAAGGTATTATGAAATTAAACTACTTTTATCTAATTCTACTTATTCATATTACTTAGGTAACAATTATAATAGATACATATCCATAATACTATATTACTTTTGAATGGATATCTACTTTCTTTAAGTGACACAAGAACATATTGAGGTTTTTATTATTTGTGATTTATGTTCTTGGTACATTCTTAACTAAATAATTATAAAAAATATAAAAAAATATTAAATATACATGAAAATATTTTTTAATTAAATTATTTTTAAAGATATTTATGTACTTAAAAAATAATTATAATTTTGAATATGCATTTAACTACAAAAATCCATCAATTAGATAAAAATATTATTTTTTTCTTAAAAATATAATTAATAACTACTAAGCTTTGAAAAAATAAAGCCATTTCAATGAATTAAAATCTAACATTTTATCAAAATAAAATAATAAAAGAATATGTAATAAAAGATAATCAATTATCATGATTTTATCTTTTTAATAAGTAGTAGTGAAATTATCACAAGAAAAGTAAGTAAAGGTCAAATTCCGATTTATATTTAAAAAATAAGTTTTAAAACTTTAAGGCAATAAAAAAAAAACTTTGAATTTTTTAGGATTAGACTTTGTATGGACTTTGAATAAAATTTAATTAATAATACTAAAAAATTAAAATACATAATTTAAGCAATTACAATCTTAATTAAAAGTTCATCTCTAAATAAAAAATTTGAATATAATTATTAGAATATAAATACATAGAAAAATAAAAAGAAAAGAAAATAATATTTAAAATATATATATGTGAAGTATTAAGAGTCAAAACCATCTATTAAAAAATAATAATATATCAAATGTATATTTTTTAAATGATATATATTTATCATATAAATAATAATTATCATTATAAAATAATATAAAATATTATAATTGAATTAATTTTTATTTGTTTGACTTAATTAAGCCATCCATGTATAACAAGAATAATATATATAAATTACTTTGAAGAGTCAAAAAATTGTATCCAAGGATTAAAAGACTCAAGGCAGAATAGATAATATAATTATTTAAAAAGAAAAATAAATATATCACAAAGATAAAAGGTGAAAATGAAAATAGAAGAATGAAAATAAAAATTTCTTATTAGAAATTTTGAATTAGAAGAATATCTAAAACATTATCTATTTAAATACAAAGTAGTGAATTTGATAGTAAGTTATTAAACTATAATGCATCTAAATACATACAAACTATAGTTTTTTTGTTCTTCATTAAAAACCATCAAGAAAATTGATCTTAAAGGACATTGTTATATTACAAGACTCCAGAAATAATATCAATAGATCTATCAATTTTAATAAGAACTTCAAAATGAAATAAAGAAGTTGAAATAAAGACTGAATTATTATTTTACTATTTTAAAATTTTAAACTCTTACTAAGGTATAAAAAAATTACAAAGAAATTAGTAAATCAAAGAAAAATTTATTTTTTATATATATTCCTATATTACAAAAAGTTATAGAATAAATGATTAGAAAAGCTGCTAAATTCCTCTATCATCTCCCAATGCTTATTGGAATTCATATTACTCCAATATGAAGAGTTTTAAGAGGGTATAAAGATAAATTTATAATCTTTGCAATTAAAGTAGTAAAAAGAATTATAAGAGAGATGAAAAAGTTTTATTTTATTTTCTTTTTCTTTTTTGTTGTGTGACTTGAAAAATCCAATAGATTTTATTAAAAATATCCAATAAACTTAAAAGCTTATTCTCTAAAAATAAAAAGTAAAATTTTTATTTTCATTCTCCTATTTTTATTTTCAAAAGCTTATTTTCTAAAAGTAAAAAGTTACAATATCTACCTTGCTATATAGACCTATTTTCTTTTATTGGAAGAAAATATTATTTAATTTAAATCTTAATATAATTCTATTCATATTTTTATTTAAATTAAAAATAGAGTTGATTATTAGTTGATCAACTAAAAATTTGATTTATTTTATAGATTTTAAATTAAAATCTCTCAAAGATAATTTTTTAAAGATATTTTCTTCTAATTTATCTTTTGAATCAAACATCAAGAAGTAAATACAAATAGCAATGTGGTATTCAAAATTCACAAAATTTTAATAGATAGAAAAATAAAACTAGAAATAGGCTAATAAAAGATAATTAGAAAATATTAAGCTTTATATTTAGAATAGAAATCTACTTCTAAATCTTAATTAAATTTCTCACTAAAAAAAGAAAAATAGTATTAAAATATTTATATTCAAACAAGTTATTATAAAATAATTACTCATATTTAATTATGTTATTTAGGTCTTTGAATGTTTTATTCAGACAAAGAACAAGTTCTTAAAAGCTAAAATTTTTTATTTATCATGGATAAAAAAAAGAATATAATATTTAAGTAAAAGTGGCTTGAAATGTAATTAAAAATATATTTTTAATGATAGACCAAACTTCTTATAATTAAAGCCAATTTTAAACATATTAGAAGTGAGATAGAAGATACATATATGTATATATATATATATATATATATATATATGATGATGATGATGATGTCTAAATCATGCAAACTATCAACTCTTATAAGAATTAAAGCAAAGAAAATGCAACCAACCAATGTTACAATCTAGTGACAATTAAATCAATGTTAGATCACTCAATGTACAACAAACTTTGCCACAAAGTTTAAAGTATAGAAGAGTAAATAAAAAGAATAGATTTTAATACTTAAATATTTAAATCTCATATTCTTTTAAATTAATTTAATTTAGATAATTATTAACTATATTCCATTTTTTAAAAATAAATTTGATTTTATTATTACTTTATTTTATTTTAGTAAAATTATCCAAATTAAAGCCATTAAACTATACAAAACATAGTTAAGACTTGTCATATCTATTATACATTTCTATCTTTAATATCTTAGATTACAAAAATAATATTTAAATATTTCAACTTCATCTCTATAATTCTTATTTATTAATATTCATTCCATAAAAGATATTCAAATGGAAATTTCATTATAAATAAGAGCCAAGGCTATTTTGTATTTGAAATTGAATTTAAATAAATTATAATGAAGGCAATATGAGACTTTTTTATATCTTCCAAATTCCAATTAGATGCACAAATAATAAAGATAGAGACCAATTCATTGTTGTTAAGAAAAACCTATAAAGCATAAATTTAGATTGAAAAGACATGTATGTATTAAAAAATAATACATATTACAATCTTAAATAAACTTCAATAAATGTCACACACCAAATAACACAACTCTATTTTATATTCTAAAAAATTACACTTACTACATAGAGGATTAAATCAAGGAACAAAACTAGTAGCAAGTATGACTAATATGTTCTTGAAACAAATGAAACAATACTTTATAGATTGTAGGCATGCTTGAAGACTTAGCAAACTTAGAACTTAAAACCAGTATATTGTACAACTTCAATAAAAATTAATTAAAAAGATGCTTTTAAATTGGTGCTTAGAGAACTTTGGATTGATAACTAGCAATATTTAAAAAAAGAGTTCATCAAAAGATGTAATATGAAAATATTGTAAGTATTGATTACAAGAAGTTATTTTTGGAAAACATGAAAACAATACAATATTTTGGTTTTTAGACAAGTCATATGGCCTAATTCAAAAGTAGATGATACCACATGGAATCAAATTAGGCATGATTAAAAAAAAATATGTTGACATGAAAAATTAGAAGTATCTTCTTAAAACTATAAAATCAAAAAAAATCAAAAACCACTAAAAAAACTGTAATTTTTTCAAAAAGATTACCGAAAGTAGGACATTTAATTGATAAGATAGGAACTCAAGGGAGAAAAGAAAGCAAACTGTAAAATGGAACTACTGCTCTTCCATCTAAGGTTTGTATCTCCTATCCCAACTTGGAAACTTGAATCACAAACTTCAGGTCCATGCCAAAGAGTTTATTAAAACTAATAGCAGAGGATTTAATGCTTTAAGAACTGTTCCAAAGGAAACAAACAATCAATTAATCAAACAAGGTGGGGCAGTTGTGGAGCCAGCATGCGGCGTCGTCACCAGCCGGCGCGCATGCAGCGTTTCCAGGCCCCGCTCTCGCTCGCTGTGGGATCAGTGCCCCGCATCATCAGCAGTGCCATTTCTTCTTATGCACTGGCTGGCTTTGTTTGCTATTTCCTTCCACCGTCACAATCCCATCCATGATGAGTTGACTCGTTCGACTGATCCCCCAACTCGGTGTCATGCTGCTGCACTGTGTCTCCACTGCTTCGTGCGTCACCAGTCTTGTGCGTCGTCGTCGGAGGACGAAACGTAAAGGAGGAGGCATCGCGTGTTTCAGATCGTAGCAGGTGGAGTTTTGGAGAGTTTGCTCAGTCCGGGTGCAGCTGCTAGTGTGTTCTTTCAGGTTAGTCGAATCGTGGCGAGTGATCGAATGCTGTTTTGGGTTGTGTTTCATCCTGGTTTTCGGAACGTGAGACCTGATTTGCCAGGAGGGTGTCTCGATGTGAGAGAGAGAGAGGGAGAGAGTGAGATAGAACTGGGGACCTCAATTGGGTATTCCTGTTCACGCGATCGTGGCATGGGCAATGGTATTCGGAACACAGTGAAACTGAATCGGCTCTTGGTGTGAGGCCGGAGCCTGTGAGTACAGCAGCGGATTGGCGATGGAAGCTAACCTAGAAAAGGGGAATGAAAATCCACTGCCATGATCAATTTCTGCAGACGTTTGGAAATTTGCAAACGTCTTCAAGTTTGCAGAAGGGTTTGAGCCTCGCCCTGAGGGAACTCTTGCCTTTCACACCACCGAAAGAAAAGAGGGGAATGTGGAGCGAATGCCGGGAGCTGGAAACCTGTCAGAAAGCGGGGTCGAGCTGCGCTCGGCACATGGCCATATCCTTCGGGAATGCTTGTGGACCCACCCGCTGGAATCTGAGTCTAGACCAAGAAAGTTTACTGCGGCAGTGCACGACCATGGAAGAGGGAAGGCCAAGCGTTCTCGCTTTGATGAGAATGGGAATATTCTTACTGGGAAGAATTTAACCTTCTGTCTCACTGTTAGGGTACTCCAAATGGCTCTTTCCCAGTTCCATATTAGTCTCCGCATTATTTCCAATCATCATGACGCTTTCGAGAACTTGTTCTATCTCCTAAATCATAGCGATGATTCCCACAACGCCTCCGAATTGCGCTTTGTAGGTGCAATTTACGGTGGACACGACAGCCAGGGAGGTCAGGGAAAACCTTGGTTCAATCCCGCTTCAAGCGCTTTTGATCCACTGTTATAGCTTCCCCGGTGCCGAATCTGGGTTCTACGGGGGGAGCTTAGTTGAGCTTGAGGGGTTTTCCGAGGTGTTTCGGAGAGTTGTGGAGTTGAAGGGGTTGGGTGTAGTAGACTGCTGCTTCTCCCTCTCTCGCTCTCTGTTTTGAGAAGAGACAATGTTGGGTGTTGATATGTTGAGGGTTCGTGTGTCGGATTGTTTAGCAGATTGAATCACGTGAGGGTGGAGTTTTTCAAGGGATTGCACACCTGCGAGGTTTCTGGGGTTCATGGATTCCGCAACCCTGTAGCAATTTTTGGGTGTGGATTGTGATCCCGTAAGAGTCACCAAGGGAGATTTGCTATGGAGACCGCCGTGCAGGGAGGAGAGCACCGCCCCCCGAGGGATTCAGTGCTACACCGCATTCCGTCGTGGAAGGAGATGTGTGACATAACGGGTCCGGCAAATAGCTCGCCTGCTCGACCTCCACGTAATTATTCACCTCGCTCCATTCTGTAAAATCTATATCTAATTATTTGTAGGAACAGTCTCGGAAGACTTGATGTGTGTAACGGTGGCTTGCCTTGCTCAACTCAATGGATGATAATCCTCGTTTTTACGATAGGTGGTCGTCTTGTCGAACAATTAGTTTGAAACAATTCTTTCTGCTTGTGAAGAGTTTACATTGCGAGTTAGAGTGATCGGCCACGGTGGATCCTCTTAAGAAACGGGTGTGTCTAGCAGAATTATGTACAGGCCCTATTGGATAAATCTGGTAGAAGTTTCTCCTCGAAGTATCTCACCGGTGAATATGGATTGATCCCATCAACAGGCGGTCCAACTCGTGCACATAGCCCTCCTACCTCAGAATTGGAGAACAACGGCTCCTTCACCAAGCTCGCTCCTCCCGCCATGGTATCTAAGGAGGTTGTGAATCAGGAACTTGGTAAGAGCGAACAGGCGAGGTCGGAACCACCACACCAACAGGTTGATGCCATGAAAATAAAAGCCAGATCCGAGAAACTGAACCAGATTGTGAATCCTAGCTCCTTGAATGTCAACAATGCGCAGTTGGCTTTGTACATAGCCATGGCACATGCAGGGCTCGTGCTTGGAATAATTGTAATATTGGGCGTTGTCCTTTTGTTGAAAGGCTATTGGAAGCCAATCCAGTGGGCTGTATTGATCTCCATGCCTCTCCGGGAAATACAAACCGTTTTGGTGAGCTTTTGGCAGGGGCCGCTTGAGGCAGGGATTGTTGAGACTATTTTGGCCGTGCCAGCGTTTGTTCTGAAGAATTTAGTGGAGACAGGGCACGATGCACGGGAGGCTGTATTGGGCATGGCTGGCATGGTGGGCAGGGGGAGTGATTCTTTGCCCAAAAAGAAAATTGGTTTTGCGAAGCTCTCGCGGTGGCTTCTCGCTTTTGCAGTGTGCACAGTTCTGTATGACTTCCTTGGGCCTGCTGTGCTTGCTTCCGCGGCGTTTGTGGGGCTGTTGAGTTACGCTGGGTTGACGACACTGTGGCCGTTGTTTGAAAGCACTCCTCATGAGAGTCCAGCTTTGAAAAGCAAGCCTGCAAATGGCTTGACTCGGATCTACAGGTGGACGATTCAGCCGGTTGTTGACGCTCTGCGGTTAGTCTTCGTCCTTGATGTCCCAGTTCCCATGAATAGCCCAAATCTGAAACACTTTATCTTATGTGCACTAAGCTGGAGAACTTTAGGTTTTTTTCTTGTTGTGAGAGAGTACACTTGTGTGTTGCTATGAAATTGTGTCATCTGTTTCATAGCAGAAGAAAAATTGTGCTGTTTTTTGAAACAAAGAGGGAAAAAAATTCCAATTCTAATTTTTTGAAATTATTTGAATGGCTATTTTTTGTACAGATGGAGCAACCGTGGTGTAACTCGATCACTAGCTGCAAAACTACCTACTGTAGTAGCGATTGTGCTAATCCTATTCATGATTATGAGTTTCCTTGGCGGCTCAATCTTATTCACCTACAAAGTGGGCATGGAGACCAAGGATGCGATTGTTACACTCAAAGCACACGTCGAACATAATAACTATGCGGAGATGACAGGGCTCAACAAATGGGTGGAGGAGAACAATGTAACTCAGCAGGTCGATTCCTACATGAGCCAAGCTTACGAGACGTTACTTGAACAGGTACGAATCGTACATGAAATCCACCGTCGTGCCTATGTCACTTTTTGTGTTATCATCTCCTCTTTGTTTTCATATTTGCTCCCAATGGATGTAGGTACTCGTTGCTAAGTCATTGCTTTGGAGAGGTTAGTTGTGACAATGTTAGTGCATTACACAATCTTAAAACCTGGACTCTTTTCGTTATCGTTGTCAAGATCGATGCTTTCGCCGAGAAGAACAATATGACTGAAGCTGTCAATGTCGGCAAACAATTTTTGAGGGGAATTTCGCACAAAGAGAGAGTGATTGGCGCTCAAAACGAGACTGGGTCCATGGAGGTGGTTGTGCCGTCGCATCCCCTCGTCGAGAAGCTTCAAAATATTAAGGTCGAGAATCCTGAATTTTACCTTTCTTTTCACACTCCTCTTTTAAGCCAATTTTCGGGACATTCTGTGGAGACTTTTCCTGTAAGCGCACTATGTTAGCTTGTTTGCCACTGACCCACCCCATGAACACATGACACAGGTGAAACTACGGACTTATGACTTTGGAGGGGCCTATGCAGAGGGCGGGGCTGCAGCGAGTCTTGGCCTTGACCTGTTTCAGGTTCGCCAAGATGACCTGATGGAAAGCGCAAAACAAGCATTACGAAGCTTTTCAGATGTTGGGAAAACAGTGGTACTCAGTGGTTCAAGTCTGATGGGAAGGGCCTTTTACCTTATCATCTCTTTCTGGAGCTCAATCGCCTCCGGGGCTGTGGGGTTTATTAACTTCATCACCCAGACCATCATTTTTTTCTCGGTGTTGTATTACCTCATTACTTCAGAGTCAGGCGGTGTCATGAACCAAATGCTCAACATGGTGCCCCTCTCAGATTCTGTTCGGAGCCGCTGCGCCAACGTCCTTGACCATGCTGTGAGCTCAGTCCTTTTGGCTACCTTGAAGGCTGCAATCTTCCAGGTTTTCCTCTCTCTCTCTCTCTCTCTCTCTCCCTCTCTCACACACACACGCTCGCTTTGGTTTTATGTAAATTCAATCAGCCGTTTCATGACGGCGCTTCATACCCTCATCAATTCTACTAAGTTACCTGCAATGCCTTCCGTGATGTTTATTGAAGTGCCACTTCTGCGCAGGCGACCTTTACTTGGCTCTTATACACGTGGTTTCGAATCCACTTCCTGTACATGGCCACATTCCTCGCCATGTCGCAAGGCGTGCTCCCTCTCTTCCCCAATTGGTTGGCCTCTATCCCAGGCGGCGCGCAGCTTGCACTCGAGGGACGGTATGCCGAGGCCGCGGCGCTTGTGATTTTGCACGTGTATGGGATGGACTACGGCTTGTCGAAAATCCACATGGAGATTCCAGGCCACAACGGTTATCTCACAGGCCTGAGCATTGCCGGCGGCATGGCTTTGTTTTCCCCTGCTCTCGAAGTGAGCAATCTGGCCCCTGCTTTATTCTCTCCTTCCTATGAACGCACTTCTGTTGTTAAATGCTATCTACGCTTCGACTGATCCGTACGCGTCGGTCGTCTTCTGTGCAGGGTGCAATTCTGGGACCACTTATTATGACAGTGCTTCTCGCTGCGAAAAACCTCTATGGCGAGTTTGTGTTGGGCATTCCCATGGATCTGAACTCCTGAAAGCACCCGCCGACAATGCACCGACAACCCACAGACAAGGGTCAACGGTGGTCAGTTGCGAAGAAACTTCTTGCATTGACTTTAGGCTACTAGGAAGCTTCTGGCAATATGTTGGATTCTTCCTTTGTAAGAGCTACGCCCTTTGTGTAGAAAATTTCCGGCTCCCACATGTGCGACAAGTTGAGTGTCGGTAGTAGTTTGCTGCCGTGTTTTTGTAATAGATCAATGTGGTTTTTGTGTCTGTTTCGGTGCAGCATAAGACTCAATTCTGCACCGAAGCTTGTAGATAACATGCTTGTGCTAAGAGTATAAAACAATCCACATTCCTGGAGGTTGAATTGAACTGAAAAAATCCTACGTTTATTGCCGATTTCGTGCTTGCAAGGTTTTTGAGGTCGTGCTCTATTCGTGTATAGAAAGGGGAATCCGAAAAAGTTGACTTCAAGAATTCGTAAAGGATCAAATTTTGTTGTGAGGATGAGTTCTTATGAATTGGATTTGGTTTTTTTATACCTGATAAGAATTTGCAAGCATATTTACCTTGTTGTCATGAGAATGGTCTCTCTGGTCCTTGCTTCTTTAGACTTGAAACTAAGTTGTATATTAAAGATCCAACTTGATTCTGGATACACTAACTATCTAGTTTTGACGTGTGAAAATACTTAACTTTGTCAAAAAGACCAAAAGACCAAAAGAATTAACCAATATCATTGTTTCACAAACGCTGGTTTTTCCAAAGGGACGTTCAAAATACTAAATTTTATGTTGAATTGTTGAAAAAAAAAAATTAAATGTTTCTCCAAAAAAATGAAATTGTCTTGTTATTTATTTCAAGTCAAATTTAGAGCATTTTATTATTTTAGACAGATGATATTTCTTCACTCTAATCTATGTTATAAATATATTATAAAGCTTACCACATCGGTAGTGGACAAAAAATGAGAAACTACTGCTACCGTCTCCAAACTTTACGCATCACCCTGCCTTCACCATGTTGGAGGAACAGCATGCCCAACATTCTCAAGGCTCTTAAGAAGCTTAGTCCTACATCTTCTAGAAAAGCCGCACCTGAAATTGGTGTTTTCAACTATGAAATTTATCTGAAATTGTGTAGAATCGGTATCCAGGAAAAATCATAGCAGCACCCTGCTCCAAATATGTGAGCAAAATGGAACTACAGATGAGTGTCTTGAATTACTACCTATAGCTTTGTTTAAGATTGTGCCCATGGAGCTCCTCCACAAGATGGTACTGGTAATCCTCTTCCATTGCCCGACACTTACCCTTCCCAATCATCAGCTTTTCTCCGCATTGCAGTTCTGTTGCATGATATCACAACAAAAACTGCGTAGAAGTTGCATGGACCGCTGAAATGTGCCCAGGAGTTGCTGATAAAGTCAAGTTGAATTTAGAATCCATCATTTGCGTATCACTAGATTGATTCGTGACCCCAGAGTGTCAGAACTCTTCTAAAAGTTGATAATATTCAACAGTTGCAAACTCTACACTTACCAAGCAATCACAGCAGTAAGCTAGCAAATGCACTTCGGTGCTAGAAACCACCTTTCATTGTACATTGCAGTACATGCGAATGCTGAACGAAGACATGTTGTGGGGGGGCTCGATCAATCATCCACAAACCTGCGTTCAAACAGAGATTTGAAACTGCGTCAGAAGCGCCATGTAGAAACAGGTCGCTCATTGTAACCTTCATCAATCTTACAAGACTTGACTGAAGCAGAGCCAACTGCATGAAGAATCTTTAAGTCGTCCAAAAGATGCAAACCATTCCCAGTAAACAACTATTACAAAATTTATCAGCATAGTGTGATCTAGGCTTTAAATAATCGTTCAAGTGGTCCTTGTAAGGGTAATTAGATAAAGAACCACTTACTCGTGGTTTCTGATTGACATAAATCAACAGATAAGCAGACCAATCATCACAAGAGGCAATTTCGCTAGCTTGGTAAAGTGGAGAGCCACTTCTTCAGCAAATGACCTCGGGTAATTAAAGCCCCACGATTCTCACTATCTGGTTTGAAAGGGCTCTTCAAGACCTCCAGCTCAGCCACGATCATCTTCCGAACGGGAGCTTTGACATCCGCTTTCGAATGTTTTCCCCATCCTGTAATAAGTTTTACTTCCAGTGGAGGTTTATGGTTAAGTTGAAACCGATCCCTCAAAGAGTCCAACCACAGCGGAAGCATTATTGAAGCAGTCCCCAGAGACATGTTATGTAAATCTAGTTGCCAGACATCTGGTGAGAATACAACGCACTCAGGTGGAAGCCCCCGAGCCAAAAGAAGTTGAACAATACTAAGCTCCTCGGATGAAGCGTCTTCGTCATAAAGCCTAAAAAACACAAATTGCAATGTCACGTACAGATTTAATATACCTCGTAACGATACATATGACAAAACATGAAGTTTCAGGATAAGAAACACACGATATTCTTGTTAAGTCACAGCTGTGATGGGACAACACATGCACACCACAATTTAGATCATCGTTGCTAGATTGAAAAATATACCTGCTAAATAGAGTTTGGGGACTGGCCATTGCACCACTAACTTCAAGGCCCACACCAGCAAGCGCACGACATGCTTTAGTAAGGGCATTCCAAGAGACCAGAGATGGTCTTACACCAGCCTCATCCATTTGCTGAAAGATTTCTACCATCCTCTCCAGCCTTCCAGCATAACAATAAGCCGTGATCATGATGTTGAACCCCGCAGTGTCAAGCTTCATTCCTATCATTTGCAAGTCATTGGTTATCCTCTCCATGTCGGATAACATTTCAAGCTTCCCGTATCCCAATAGGAGTGCTTTGTAGTCGTCTACTGACGGTAAATACCCTGTTAATTTCCACTCCAGCAACATCTTCTCAGCCTCTACGGGTTTCTCTGCAGCAGAGTACCCACGTACCAAAGCCCTGTATCCTAGAGAACGAGACTTGGCCAAAGGCAATTCGCATATCCTAAGAAAGGATTCATGCGCTTGGTTCATAAGACCTTGGATAATGTAGCATTCGATTAAAGCACACTCAAGCTGCGCCCTCTGCTTAAGATTTAGAGTTTCTCGTGGTTCAAGTAGTTGTGACGAATTAGCTAATAGTTGCTCGTCCTTAGCAACCATAGCAACAATTCGAGCATGTAGATTCGCATCCCATTTGTACTTGGTTTCTTTTCTGACGGCTTCGTACACCTGGAAGAATATCCAAGACAAACAATTGACTGAATGGAAAGCGCCTAACGATCCCAACTATATCATTTCAGTTGTAGCACAAGCACAAGGACATAAAATATTAAAAAATATATATATACATATAGATTAATTTGACAATCAGTATGGCAGAATGAGAGACGTGTATAACTCGACGATGTCTAAACCTCGAAAGCATGAGAAATATACATAGCACGCTGAAAATCTTATTACTCACAGGAATCACAAGCTCACATTGTCCCCGAAGCACAAGCTCCTCCAACACCTCCAATTGTGTAACTCGCGACAGCCCTCGCGACCTCCGAACCAGTAGCTTGGCGGCATCGGTTACGCTGGCGGCATCCACCTCCTGCAGCACCCGCATGGCGCTCTTGCTTGCACACCTCACGCGAAATACTCCACCCGAGAGACCGCAAGTTCCATGGTCACTAATTCTACCCAGTTGCAATCTCAGATACAAGCTATGGAACGAAACGGCAGCATGCTTCGGCGGCTTTCGGGGCGCGGGCGCGTTGCCATAGCGGTGCTGGAGTAGTGTGGGGGGCGCCCGCCATGGCCGATGGGACACGGGCAATGGCATCGCCATAGCCATGGCCACAATGACCTGATTCCGCACCTCGTCGACGACGACGACGAAGCCAAGGGAGGGGGCTATGGCAAAGCCTCGAGGTGTGCTACGTGACAGCCTCTGAAGCCTTACCAAACCTTTCAAAGAAGCCATCAAATTCAATAGTGAAGATATATATATATATATATACATGTGTGTGTGTGGGCATAATGATTTTCGTGTACATCATATAAAAATATTTATGTATTTTTTGTAAGATTTATTGGGTGGTTCATCAGAAGGTGGCAGAATTAAAAATAAGTGTTTCTTCTTAATAGCCTTCATTTTGTTGGAGTTATTATTTATTGAAGCCTGGCTTGATGTAATAAAAGCTGAGAAGAATTGTGTATGAGGAAAAGTCGTAATTGTCATTATTTGGAAATACACAATAATTTACCTAAGGACAAAGAAAAATGAACCAATTTTAAAGAAAACAAAAGTTATATGAAACAAAACTACTAGTTTTAGTATTATAACAAGTTGGTTTTAATTTTTAATATAATATTACACATTGGTGACCATCTTTTTAAAAAATCACTGTTTGAAATTATGTTCTACATTGTAAATTATTCATTGAAAAAGTATTGTTATTTGGATGTCAACATCCAAACTTGATATTGATTTTTTATTTTTTATTTTATTTTTTTGTTTATTGTTGCAGGTAATTCATGTTTAAACATTCTGTTTGTATGTGCTAAAAAAATTGATAAACAAATATATATATATCTATATATATATATATATATATATATATACACACACACACATATAGACATAGAAAAAAAATATATATGCCCATATATTAAAAATGGTTATTGAAATTATACTTTTATTTGAATTATAAGTTTTAAAGTATAGTTATGCATTTTAGCATAGACATTGTTACTATCATGTGTTTTAAATTTAAAAAGATTGATTCCATTAAAAAGAAAAATTAACTAAATAGATACTAAGCACAAGTATACAATGACTATTGCTAATTATGATTTTAAAGTTTATCTTTTATTTATCAATAGCCATAATAGACTACTAAAAAAAGATGGAATATATACATACAAATATATATATATATATATATATATATATATCAATGTACAAAATATGTTCATTATGTTTTCTAATATAAGTAATATGCATCAACAGTTACAAAGTAAATAAAGAGATTATACATATTTGTTTGTTATAGACATACATATCAACACTAGTTATTATTAAGATAAAAGAATATGAATAGAAGTAAAAAAAAAAAAAAAAAAAAAAAAAAATACAAATACAAATACAAATATAAATATAAATACAAATTAGATAATATCTTGTGGAGTAGCTTCTTTAAGGCTTTATAGATGTATATTTGAATTTCTAAGTATTTGTAGGTAATTGGTAGATTGGCAACTTTATGAATAAATTGGTGTCATATTATACATGTTGATTACTTGTTTCACAAGTTGGTTCTATACTGCACATATTAGCCACTTGTAGTACAAGTTGCCCATGTGGGAAACTTGCCTTACAAGTTAGTACTTAGGATAAGAATTTGAAGAACATAAACAAACAAGTAAGATATTTTTTTTAAATATATATATATATATATATAGAGAGAGAGAGAGAGAGAGAGAGAGAGATATAAAAAAAATTAAAATTTAAAATTCTTATATATATATATATATATATATATAAGAAATTAAAATGTCTATTATCAAAGTTTAAAAAAATATAAGTTTTTGAAATTGGACTAGAAGCAAGAAAAGAATTAATAAGAATGAAGATGGCTTTACTCTTACCTCTTTCTATACTATTTAACTAGAAGCTAAGTAATAACGTTTTATAAGACCTCTAATACATATCTAACTTGCAAGACAATTTTTTTATACGTGCACCACATGGCCAATTTGTATCACAAGTGGCTGACATGTGCAATACTTGGCCAATTTATATCATAAGTGGCCGACATGTGCAATACTTGGCCAATTTGTTGGCATATTTTTTAACCTACCAATGACTTGTGGACACAAATAAAGTCAAACCCATATCTATGAAGCTTCTAAGAAGCTAGAATATAAGATATATCAATATTTATCTTCTATTTATTTCTATATAACTCCTCTTTTTTAGATAATTCCTAGTATTGGTGATATTCATGACATTATTTCTCCTTTTGAAGACAAGTTGCATGAAGAAAAATCATCATCTATTAAGAAAGTCAAAGATGTAATGAATTATATTTATTACATATTATGAGCTTTATTTTCTACAAAGATAGTTGATAGGTCCTCTTAGCTATTGATAATATCATATATCAAGACAAAAAGACCACCCTATTATTTGATCATTGTAAAGGCATTCATAACTTTCTTCTAGTAGAACATTTGAAATACTATTGGAAGTCACTTCTATCTCCAATAATATCACCAAATATCAAGAGTTTCTTCCAAGGGCGTGATACCAAATGTGTTATATTTTACCATCTATTTAAAAAGAATATGATGTTCTTAAGGATCTTCATCTTTGTTATTTTTTCTTGAAGGTTGTGACAATATAAATGCTTCATTTGATAATTTTGTAAATAATATCTTGTAAGTTGAATCTCTTAGTTGGTGATTTTTTATCTCCTTAGTACCACAAATACATAAAAATTACAAATAAGGATTAAAGACTAAGTGCAATCTTTATTGAACCTTATTTGCTTTATAGCAAATAATTTCTTGACTTTTTTTTTTCTTAGTTTTGATGTATGTTGTCCATAGAAAGTATTAGTCTTTTTTATTAGGTTTGCAAGATTCTTAAAATGCTCCCATGTACATTTACTAATATTATATTGATGCTAATGTACAAAATATTCCAATCTATTTTGGCATCACCTTGAATATAAACTTCTTTAACTTCAATTTCTTAATTGTTATCCATTCATATAAGAAAAGATGGTATTTTTCATCTTTTTGGTATATTCATTATCATGTATGATTTAAGAAGATACATACAAAACAAAGAATAGATCTTCTAAGACTTTGAGAGGTAAAATTGATATGAAATTAGATTGATTTGTTCACAAGTAGAAAAATAGTCCAAATATACAATATTTTAACTTGTCATAAAGGCAAATAGTATTAATATTTGTAAGTCACAAATTTGATTCACTTTAGTATTTTAGTACAAAAAATGCACTTGTGGTGCTTAAAGTCACTAATCTAGGGAATTTATGTAAGAATTTGGAGACAAATAGCAAAAATTAGGATGTCAATGCAAGAAGGGATCTCATGCACGAGTTCTTTGAGAAAGCATTTTAAAATAAATGTTGCTCTTTAATTTAAGTAATATGGATTTATGATATTTTTTAGAATAGAATTCTTTGATTAAAAGTTAATTGAATTAGGAGCTAAACATAAACCTGATTGAGTCAGTTCATAAAGATTAGAAAAAATAGAGGAAAAAATAGAAGATATTAGAAAAAAGAAAGAGAAGGAAAAAGAGAGAAGAAGGGAAGAAAAGGATGAAGAGGAAGGAGAAGAAAAAAAAAAAAAAAAAAAAAAAAAATGAAGAATACGTTACCTACCCGGAATTCCTGGAATAAGGGTTAGACCCCAAGGTTTCAGGGAAGAACTGCTGGGGTCGGGATCTCATTTTTTCTCTCTTCTGTTTTTTGTATGTTCGGTGGAGCTCCGAAGCTAGCGGACGGTACAGCCACTTTTCTTCGTTTTCCTGTCTAAGTGTGATTTGCAGAGGGTCAAGCGTCGGGGTTTCGAAGGACCGCCGACATCTTCCAAAGCGGTGCAGCGACCGTTTTTTTCCTCCGTTTTCGCTGTGGTGCAGCCACCTCTCTCTCGTTTTGGTGTTTCTCTCTCGGACCTGGGAGCTCCGTGAATGCTGGACATTCTGGCTGTAGGTTTTTGATGCGTGCAGTGTTGTGTCGCTGGATTCACTTTCTTTTTTTACATTGGCTGTTGCTAATGGGAAGCGGAATTGCTCTTGTTTCAACGAGTAAGGGGCATATCCTTCGATTGGTGGTTAAGAAGCGGGAGAGTCGTCGAGATTCAGCTGATTGTTCACGAGCTAGATCTGCTACTTTTCAACTGAGATCTTCTCTTATTGCTAGTGGTGCTGTGGTACTGGCATCGCGACGTTGGGGTGCAGTATTGATGTCGATGGCGTGGACTGGTGGTGGCGATGTACTTTTTGTCAAGCAATTCTTTTCTATCGGATTGTTGCGGTGCAACAACGTTGTGGTGACTTTTCCATCTTTGTTCGACGCTGCTGATCTTGGCGGCGGGGTGGTTAATGCGGTGGAGGAAGGCTAGATTTTTTCCTTTGTCGTTCTCATTTTTTTGTCGTTTTGTTTGAGTTACGCAATCTGCGACAACCTATTGTGGGGCTGCCTTCATCAACCAATCAGTTCCCTTTTGTTTTTTTTTTTGGTTCTGGCGACGAGTGAGAGTGAGGATACTGAGGAGCCAAGGTTTTGGAAGGCTAAACTCAAACTTCGACAATCCGCGGTTGCAACTTGTTTCTATCTACATTAGAATTCGACGGAGAGGTCCTATTATTGCTCAACGATGTCTACAGCGTATGCTTGTAACCTAGTGGAAGCGCGATGGCCTTCAGTATTGTCGCTGCCAAGTAGATTAAAATAGTGCAAGTGGTGTGCTACTTTTGGCGCGGTGCATTGGCTGTTCTCGGTGCTGGTAGTTGGTTTCAGAGTAGGATAGAGGACTTAGCATTTGGGATTTTATTTGACGGTCCAAGGACAGTTCCAATCAGAAATCAATACAGTAGTGTCGGCTGGTGGAGTATTGTGGGTGCATTGCAGCAGCAAAGACATCTGTGTGATTTCTAGAACGGGACGACACTCGTTGTGGTCGGCAACTCAGTTGCAAGATGATCCATGCACGTCGAGTTGGAATCGTGAACTTCATTTTGTGCCATCTGGATTCCCTGCAATCGTTGCTAGATTCGATTCTCCTTATCCACTCATTGTCATCATTCGATTTCCAGTGGACTTGCGGTTATTTGAATTGTGCAGGGAATGATAGAAGGGGCAATACAACATCGTCAGCAACAATCAAAGCTCTAGTATTGAGCCAGGAGGAGTTACAACATTCCATTCTTCATCACCGGCGATA